TAGGGTGGGCTGTTCTTGTTGATGAATGATTGGATATAGGGGTGTAGGGTGGGTTGTACTTGTTGATGAATGAATGGATATAAGGGTGTAGGGTGGGTTGTACTTGTTGATGAATGAATGGATATAAGGGTGTAGGGTGGGCTGTACTTGTTGATGAATGAATGGATATATGGGGTGTAGGGTAGGCTGTACTTGTTGATGAATGAATGGATATAGGGGTGTAGGTTGGGCTGTATTTGTTGATGAATGAATGGAATTAGGGGTGTAGGGTGGGCTGTACTTGTTGATGAATGAATGGATATAAGGGTGTAGGGTGGGCTGTACTTGTTGATGAATGAATGGATATAAGGGTGTAGGGTGGGTTGTACTTGTTGATGAATGAATGGATATAAGGGTGTAGGGTGGGCTGTACTTGTTGATGAATGAATAGATATAAGGGTGTAGGGTGGGCTGTACTTGTTGATGAATGAATGAATATAAGGGTGTAGGGTGGGCTGTATTTGTTGATGAATGAATGGATATAAGGGTGTAGGGTGGGCTGTACTTGTTGATGAATGAATGGACATAAGGGTGTAGGGTGGGCTGTACTTGTTGATGAATGAATGGATATAAGGGTGTAGGGTGGGCTGTACTTGTTGATGAATGAATGGAATTAGGGGTGTATGGTGGGCTGTACTTGGTGATGAATGAATGGATATAAGGGTGTAGGGTGGGCTGTTCTTGTTGATGAATGAATGGATATAAGGGTGTAGGGTGGGCTGTACTTGTTGATGAATGAATCGATATAAGGGTGTAGGGTGGGATGTACTTGTTGATGAATGAATGGATATAGGGGTGTAGGGTGGGCTGTACTTGTTGATGAATGAATGGATATAAGGGTGTAGGGTGGGCTGTACTTGTTGATGAATGAATGGATATAGGGGTTTAGGGTGGGCTGTACTTGTTGATGAATGAATGGATATAAGGGTGTAGGGTGGGCTGTACTTGTTGATGAATGAATGGATATAAGGGTGTAGGGTGGGCTGCACTTGTTGATGAATGAATGGATATAGGTGTGTAGTGTGGGCTGAACATGTTAAAGAATGCTAGAGGTCACATGAATTTAGGAGTGTAGGGTAGGCCGCACTTTTAGATGAATATCTAATCTTGTCAGGGAGCAGAAACAAATTGATTGGACTTTCCATCTCCGAGCTTCTTAGTTTTGTTTTCTCCCTTTCTAGTCTTCTCAGTGTACTAGAGTGTCCTCCCCTTGTGTTGTACAAATCGAATGTGTGTAAGTCATTTAGCCTCTCCCTCTGCACCCCAACACCACTTGAACCAGACGATGTCAGGGCAATGGCCCTTCGTATTTATCAGTGTAACCTGAGAATATATGTTTCAATGTTTCCCATACCATGAACACCAATGTGTCAGAGGACATTTGAGAATATATGTTTCAATGTTTATGATACCATGAACACCAATGTGTCAAAGGACAGTTGAGAATATATGTTTCAATGTTTACCATACCATGAACACCAATGTGTCAGAGGACATTTGAGAATATATGTTTCAATGTTTACCATACCATGAACACCAATGGACCAAATATTTACTAGAGTTATATATTATAGATAATAACTGTTGGCTATATATAATACAAAAATAGCAACAGTAGCTTTAATGCATTGAAGGTCTTCCAGAAATCTGCCAGAAAGAGTTGACCAGTCCAGAAGATGATACAACGTTCTAAAGTTATGCTTTACTCTTATAAATACTTGTCAGCATAATCAAAGATATCATGCTTGTCAGCATAATCAAAGATATCATACTCGTCAGCATAATCAAAGATATCATTCTTGTCCCCATAATCAAAGATATCATACTTGTCAGCATAATCAAAGATATCATACTCGTCAGCATAATCAAAGATATCATACTTGTCAGTATAATCAAAGATATCATACTTGTCAGTATAATCAAAGATATCATACTTGTCAGCATAATCAAAGATATCATACTTGTCAGCATAATCAAAGATATCATACTTGTCAGTATAATCAAAGATATCATACTAATGTCAGCATAATCCAAAATATCCTTCTAATGTCAGCATAATCACAGATATCATAATAATGTCAGTAAAATCAAAGGTATCATACTAATGTCAGCTAAATCAAAGATATGATTCTAATGTCATTATAATCAAAGATGTCATTCTAATGTCAGTATAATCAAAGATATGATTCTAATGTCAGTATAATAAAAGATATCATACTAATGTCAGCATCATGATGGTTCGTCCGTCGAAATCGCTCAAGACAATTTTAATCATCTTATTCGTTCTGGTTCTGACTCTGGCTGTGGGTGCGCAGATGGCTGATGAGACCGACTCTGTGTGAGCGCAGATGGCTGATGAGACCGACTCTGTGTGAGCGCAGATGGCTGATGAGAGCGACTCTGTGTGAGCGCAGATGGCTGATGAGACCGACTCTGTGTGAGCGCAGATGGCTGATGAGATCTGTGTGAGCGCAGATGGCTGATGAGACCGACTCTGTGTGAGCGCAGATGGCTGATGAGAGCGACTCTGTGTGAGCGCAGATGGCTGATGAGACCGACTCTGTGTGAGCGCAGATGGCTGATGAGAGCGACTCTGTGTGAGCGCAGATGGCTGATGAGACCGACTCTGTGTGGGCGCAGATGGCTGATGAGACCGATTCTGTGTGAGCGCAGATGGCTGATGAGACCGACTCTGTGTGAGCGCAGATGGCTGATGAGACCGACTCTGTGTGAGCGCAGATGGCCGATGAGACCGACTCTGTGTGAGCGCAGATGACTGATGAGACCGATTCTGTGTGCGCGCAGATGGCCGATGAGACCGATTCTGGTACAAAATGTTTTTGAGCAGTTGATGCATGGGATGGACGGGACAACTCGAGATACAAAGTCAACCCTGTATTGTCTGTTGTGCCCTGTTGGCTTTATGTCGCGTGGAGCCTTTTTGTAAAGAGGAGCACCACGATGCTCGATCCTTGCCGATTCTGCTCACGTGTCCGGGTTTGTATCAAACGCTTTCAGTGAGGCTTTTATGTTGTCTTGACAACGTTCCTTATCCCCATCAACACACCGCCTTCCGTGCACGAGCCCGCCATTAAATGTTATTTTGGGAAAACGTTCGTCGGAAAGTCCCGCCCAGCGAAGCAGGCACTGCACCAACACGGTAAATAAGCTAGGGAGACGTGCCTGTGCGAGTAGCTCGGTGTCTGAGACCCTGCCCTGCCAATGATTTTTCTGAAACTTGTGTAAAAGTGACTCAACTTTCTTGCATGGCGTTGATAAACCGTCCACGATTCACATACTTACAGAAGCATAGGGGACACAGCCACCTTGTCGACTTTTATTTTAGTTTGAGGGCTGATGCCTCTCCCGGTCCATACATTCATAGACATTTTATCATAGGTTGCACTGATACCTCGACTGGTCCATACATTCATAGGCATTTTATCATAGGTTGCACTGATACCTCGCCTGGTCCATACATTCATAGACATTTTATCATAGGTTGCACTGATACCTCGACTGGTCCATACATTCATAGACGTTTTGTCATAGGTTGCACTGATACCTGGCCTGGTCCATACATTCATAGACATTTAGTCATAGATTGCATCGGCTCTTGTAATATGAAGGTTAACCTCATCATCGATGGTTCCGCTTTGGGACTGTGTGCTGCCAAGGTAAGAGAAGCTGATCACTACTTTAAAGTTTAAGCCTTTCGAACTATACATTTGAGTTTGGGGCTCAACCTGAGGTGTTCAATTAGCTTACTGGTGTGGAGCCTCAGTCTTTTTCGTGTTAATAGTATGGACGATGTTTTTGCTGGCCGTGGAAAAATTTGCAACACTGCGTGGAACATCAGAGTAAGGCGTTTAGGGAAAAATCGTCGTCATACAGGAAGTCCCTGATGATCTTGGATTTGGCATGAAGCCTCTTGAGGTTGAATAGCTGACCATCCGTTCGATACCCGATACCCTTCCCAATGTATCCCTCTCTGAAGACATCAGTCAGCATGGTGGAAAACATGAGGCCGACAAGTTTTGGTGCCAGGACACAACCTTGTTTGACGCTGTTAGTCACAGGGAATCGTTTAGACGTCCAATTTCCCATAATTATGTGACCTACTGGTCACCATCATGAAGGATATCATATCAATGTCACCCACGGGTCATCACGGAGAAAGACACCCTACTAATTTCACCTAAAGGTCAGCACCGAGAAGGATATCTTACCACCACCTACTGTTTAGCACCAAGAAGGATATTTTACCGCCACATACTGTTTAGCACCGTGATGGATAGCTTACGGCCACCTACTGTTTAGCACCAAGAAGGATATCTTACCGCCACATACTGTTAAGCACCAAGAAGGATATCTTAACCCACCTACTGTTTAGTACCATGATTGATAGCTTACCGTCACCTACTGTTTAGCACCAAGAAGGATATCTTAACCATCACCTACTGTTTAGCACCAAGAAGGATATCATACCCCCACTACTGGTCAGCACTATGAAGGACGTCATACTAATGTAACCACAGATAAGCACTATGAAGGATGTCATACTAATGTAACCACTGGTCAGCACCATAAAATATATCATAATTTATTCAACTGAAGCACATATAATGAATTTATTATATCACATATGTAATACATGCACATTTCCTGCTTCACACAATTAATAAAATCATGATAAGATACTTATAAATTAAGGCAGAAAGTAAAAATAAAAATGTAAGCATTCTGTTCTATTTATTTTTTTTTTTCAGACTTATAAATAAATGCTGCGTAAGTGGAATAACATTAACTTTAACAAAACATCTTCTGTATTTTCATAAATGAAAATTTTACCAACATTATGGATGTACAATAAAACATACTAGTATCAAAAATGCATGTGGAGGATCACAGTGGAGGGGATTGAAAGTGGTGGAGAGGGGTGCGGTTGTGGGGGGGGGGGGAGAATTCAAAGAAGGCCTTTCAAAAAAAAATAACGGAAAAAAAAAAGGATGGGGGAGGGGTAATAGAGGAGGAATGCCAATGTTCCCTTTCAATGTCACATGTCTTTGCACAAAATCCCAAACATAACATGATGTGCAAAGTTTTTCATTTTATGTTCTTACAATATGAGCACACCGTTTTAAATGTTGCCAAGGTGTTGACAGGTCAAAAATAGCTATGCTTAAAAGTATTTGTTTAATAATATCAGGATTGAGGACTTTTCATAACAAATCATTTACCAAGTTTTGGTGCAAAGTTTAATTTAATATTTCATAATGAGGAAAAGTGTCATATGAGGGCAAGTGTCATAATGTGGGCAAGCCTAAAAATTGTGGACAAGCATAATAATGTAGGCAAGTGTCATAATGAGGGCATGTGTCATAATGAGGGCATGTGTCATAATGAGGGCACATCATAATTAGGGCAAGTGTCAAAATGAGGGCATGTGTCATAATGAGGGCAAGTGTCATAATGTGGGAAAGTGTCATAATGTGGGCAAGTGTCATACTGGGGGCAAGTGTCATAATGTGTATGCATTTACACATGTGCACAGCTTAGATGCCCCACTGGTGGCTTGCCCCATATATATTTTCAGTAAAAGCCAGTCAGTCTGATCCAATTTGTGTACAGACCATAAGACAGTCAAAAGATAACCAGCCGAGGAGTTGATGGTCATAAGACAACAGATTAACATGTTAACAAATTTTCTTTTGACATCATACTTTGATACTCAAATGATTTATAACATTTTCTCATCCACTTGAAAGGAGATGATCTTCCACCCTCAAAGGTTGAGTCAACTATAACTTCATGATTTAAAATGTTGCATGTTTAATCAGTGAACTCATCAATCCTAACGAAACGTTTTTGCATACTAAGACATTTGTCTTTGAAACTTTGCACACCTGGCTTAGCTGGCTTAGCTCGGTTACCTGGCTTAGCTCGCTTACCTGGCTTAGCTTGCTTACCTGGCTTAGCTGGTCTCACACTGAACATAATGGAGTCATCCGTCTCAAGTTTTTCTCCAGGTTCCTTATGGTGACTTAAGTAACATGGCCTCCCAATAAGTAACATGGTCTCCCAATAAGTAACATGGTCTCCCAATAAGTATCATGGTCTCCCAATAAGTAATATGATCTCCCAATAAGTAACCTGGTCTCACAATAAGTAACGCGATCTCCCAATACGTAACATGATCTCCCAACATTTAAAAGTAAAATCTAATTATAGTTTAGAGCAAAATTTCAGTTGTCAAAGAAATGTGTAGTCTTTGTCTTTGGTGTTGTATTTATTCAGTTAAATTTTGATGCATATTTTTTAAAAATCATTTAAATTTACAAGTTGTAACTTTCAACATCTTGCCATGAGCAAGCAATGCCAACTGGAACTGTTTTGATTTTGATTAGTTATCGTCAACGCCTTGCCGTTGCCATGTTGTCTGTCCTGTCCTGTCACCAAACTGTTTTGTCAACCATATGACGGGCTGCCATCATACACCAGCATAACAAAATCATTCACTGTACCAAAATACCCAGACAGCAATCATAAATCATCATCCCAGTCAACACTTTCTAAGACCACGAGGTCATCCTGGGAGATATCAGCCGTTGCTTGAGTAGAGTTTTCAGTGAATGCGTTATCCTCAGGCGACTCCTCTGGTGCTTTGCCACACGCATCATCCAATCTCAGGATTTTCTTAGGTGGCGTACTTGTGAAAAAATCTGTCAGGCTGGCTTGGCGTTTAGTGGGGGTCAACTCTGTTCTTGGGCCCTTGAATTTTATTGGTGTTTTCTTTTTGCCTGGTGATGTTTTCTTGACTGGAGAGGACGCATTTGTCACTGTAGTTTTCTTTGATGTTTCTGGAATGACGCAATGTTTCATTTTCAAACAGCTAATATAACAAACATGTCATTAAAACTTTTCTTCAGAAAATCTTAATTTCTGTAATGTCATTAAAAAAAAATTGATCACCAAGACTTAATAAATATTTGAATATTTACCCGCTTGAACTGAAGCTGTCATCTCAGATTCAGGAAGAGATTCAATACTGCAGCTTGCAATGACAGGTGAATCGTCAATAAAATCTGACCTAAATAAGTCTAGAATAGTAGACTGGCTATTGTCCTGAAGGGGTAAATTATTATGGTATAATTATTTATATTTTGGACCAAAAAATTTAACGTTTTACTGACAACAATTTGATAATTCATAAGAAAATCTATAAATATGTGATAACATGGAACATTATGCAAGAGAACAAAAACCATGAACATATGGCCTCCTTAATGTGGAATTTTTAAGATAATATCAGCAAACATCATTAACAAGCCTTGCAAATGTTAATAAATGAAGGACTGTATTCAAGCTGCGAGACGAAAATTGTTGAACAAGGACTTTTACAAGCTTCAACCTACCGTGTTTAACAATTTTCTTAATTGTAAACGGTTTATGCACCCAAAGAAAACGTTCACAAAATGAGATTAATTACTTACCATTGTTTGCATAACTTTGGTGCTTGCATCTGAAAAATCATCTCTTGTAAGACCAGCTTTACTGAGGATGTTCAGTTTGTCCTGGACCAGAGGCCTGAAGTTATTTGCTAAATTATTGCCACAATTGGTTTATGTCTTGCAAGATTTAAATTAAACAATTCACTTGATGCCCGGGATAACAGTATTAGCAATAAATGTAAATTTGCACCTACCAGATGTAATCATCAGCTGTCCCTCTGGCCACCAAATACTGAACACTCACTGAGTCAGCTTGACCTATACGATGAACACGGTCTTCTGCTTGCACTAAAATCTAATTTCATTATTTTTAAAAATCAATTATACATTTGACTCTTTACCAGACTTTTCCATTCAACAGAGATAAATATCAAATTAGAATAAACATTCAAACCCCCCATCCCTACAGTCAGTGGTCCCCAAATGGCAGTCCGTGGACCTTCATCGGTCCGCATGCCTAACGCTGCCGGTCCCCATAACATAACTATTTATTGTCAAATAGAAATAAAAGTATAAAAATAAATCATGCACTGGTCCCTGGTAAAATTTCGAAACTTGTTCACCAGTCCGCCAAACTTAAAAGTTTGGGAACCACTGCCTACAGTTAATATTGTATTTACATAAAATGTATTATTATTAAACATGCACATTTTTTTAAACACTTACTCAAATAAAAAATTGTGTCTTACCCCAGGGTTCCAGAACAATTCAGCAAACACAACCAAATTAGCAGCACAAAGATTCAGCCCGGCATTGGCTGCAGTGATCGACAGGATGGCTACTCTGTAGTCATCCTTTGATTGAAACTCTCTGCAGAAAAAATTCCTTTGCTCTGATGATGTCCGCCCATCAATACGAATGTATTTGACACTTTTAGCCTTAAAAATCATCAAAAATAAAATTAAAAGTTTTTAAACATTCTAAGGTTATAAACAATATAAACATTATAAATAATATAAAATATTATAAACAATATAAAACACGAGCTTAATTTAAATAATTCACTCCATAAGTCATAGCCCACCAATTCAAATGTCTGATTAAAAATTGTTTAGTTTAAAATATTTAATGTACCTCTTCATAGCTATTACCTTTGATGTGATGCAGTCCTCAATATTGTCCAGCATCTCCTTGTGATGGCCAAAAACTAAAAATTTCTTTTCAGATTCTATAAGATCTAAAAGATACTCTCTGAAAGCCAAAAATAAATTTATGCATTTTAGAATTTAAAAGTTAGAACCCGTAGCTAATGTTAAAAAACAAAATATAATTACAAGTTAAGTGACAAAGCTAAACTTTAAATTTACTGATAAAACAGCTTTTGCCTCAGAGAGAATATGATAGTTCAATTTAAAACAAATTTACAAAATGTCTTTGGTTTAATCAGCAAGATTGAGATAAATGTTTCTCTCTTTAAAAAAAAAAGGTGAATGCATATTTAAATTAAATTAAACTTTTAACTGAACTAAATATGCTTTTGTTTTGTAATATATTGAAACTTACAATGCCATGATTTACAAATTAAAATAAAAATATTGAAAGAATCAAAGATTATTTGAATAATACAGTTGTCATTGAATGGCAACAGGTGGATGGGACTCGTTAACCTTGAATGGCAACTCATCTAAGAGAAGGAAACTCTGAAATCAAACCCGGAAAAAGGAGTCCCGAAAGGTGGATAACATTGATACAATGAAACATTCCGACAACTCCTGCGACGTCACTGGTGCCAAGCTGTATCATCCAATGATGTTCCCTTGGGTTATCCAGCGGCGTGGAGAGAGGCGATTTGCTGTTGGGAACCAGCGTATAATCCTTGAAGAATAATCCCAGGCCATGTGGATTTCGTCCTCCAAAGCCCACTCCATCGCCACATTGTGACGGACGAATGCCAGCATTGAATAGAAAGATAACTTTTTAGTACAAAAAAAAAAACCCAGCAGATTTGCTCATTACCTGACAGGATTTAATTTGACTTTACAAGTCTCATGAAAATATTGAAGCAGTACACCTCTTCTCTCCATGCCCTGGGAATAGAACGTTCATTTAACACTCGTCAAATGCAATTTTTAAATGACCTTACATTGATGAGTGTCACAGTAGCATTAATTTAAGGCTTTTTTTTTTAAAAGGGTAATAATCCTACTCAGTGCTGGTGGTTAATTCAGAGAAAAGCATTGGTGGGGGCAGTGATATAAATATAAAATATACTTTGAATAGAAAAACTACATTTATCTAAAAGCAAATATTAAAATATCTTCAAAAGTATAATAAATATAGTATGAGCTTAAAATAGTTGAGTGAGCTGTAAAGAAATGGAAATAATTTTTATCAATGTTAGATAAAACAAACATGAAAATATTTCATTCTTAAATTAATATTTAATCGATATAAAATAAAAAATTTATAAGAACTTACTTTGAGCTGTTTCTCCATCAACTTTGATGCAGTTAACAAACCTTTATGTTTTCTCACAGAAGTAGCATCTAAAACAACAACCTGTCTTGTTTTAGCAGGTAGCTGTGATAAAACGTCCTTCTTCTGACGCCTGTGGAGTAAAGTGTTAGCAGATGTTGACAAGGTTTTTATTACTAAAACATCTGTTCATACTGTCTAACAGAATATTATTGGTATTGTGGTCAGATTCAGATTATTTAAAGCATTTATTTTTTAGCATTTATAATCGTCTCTTCTTTGGAGTGACTATATGACATTTCTTAATTCAGATTAAAAGGTCTATCCTTACCTGAAAATACAAAACCAGGGACCAATTTAAATGACTCAATTAAGGCTTTTATTTTTTTTAAAGAAACCACACAAGAACACCATATTGAACTAATGATAAATTAAATGTATTATTTTATGAACTTTTAAGTTTAATCAGAATCTGAGGCATTGATTTTCAATATTGTAGAAAGAACAGTGAATAAAGGGGGAAAACTTATTATCACTGATAATGTCATCCTTAATCAACTTAATAAGAGAAAAGCCAATGCCGTAGCTGTCACTCTAATCCAATCAAGATTAGATTACTGTAACAGTTGTTTGTGGAGTTTACCTCAAAACCAAATTCAGAGACACCAGAAGTTACAAAATACTGCAGCACACATTGTATCGCATATAAAGAAAGCTGACCACATCAACCCAGTTCTTAAAGATCTCCACTGGCTTCCAATATTGACCAAAAAATTCTGTCCCTGGTATAAAGATGTATAGAAGGCTATGCACCTGAATATCTTCAAAAACTGATTTCTAAACTTTAAACATGTATCCATACAGAATCTGTGCTCTTCAACACTGTCCTTACTGAGGGTTCCCAGTGTGGATGGACACAGAAAGAAGTCATAATGAGTGCGCTCTTTTGAAGCTATTGTAACTAAATTATGGAACAGTTTGCCTCACTCTTTGAGGGGAAATGAAAATGATGAAAAGTCATTTTGTGAATGATAAAAAGTCATTTTGTGAATGTATATGTGATGAATAAAGGGATTGTTTGGGGTTTTATTTACATTTGTCTAATTTTTAAAGTTTAGCGCACACATGCATACTACATGTGTCCTTACAATCAAATATATTTTACACATTTTTAGGGGTAAAAACACTTTCATTTCCCATTAAGTGAACTTGGTCTTTTTATTATTTTACCTTTGTTAGCACATTCAAAAAATTCATTCAGTGCTTAAGTTTTATCATTATTAGAACACCTTCAGTTAATAAGTTACAATTATGTTTACCTTATCATCACTTTCTTCTCTAAGAAGAGCTGTAACTCAACCATGTTAGAAGAGCCAGAATAATCCCAACCCCAGGGCATCTATGAGAAAAAAAAGAAAAAAATTGGAAAACATCCAATCCCCTTCCAAACTAGAGAAAAGAATTTGAATTGATCTAACAAATTCAATACTGAAAGTAAAAAAAAATTATCTTTCTGGGACTTGAATCTTATTTCAAATAATTAAAGAAAAAATAATTCTGTAAGCCATCAATAATGGAAATTATAGTAAAAACTGCTTCAATTTACCTGCTTAGCATTACAGTAACGTAAACCAAAGTTGTGAAACTTGACTATGTCAGGGCACACACCTACTATTTGACAAAATAATTCACTGGGACGGGAAAGAGCTGGAGTTCCTGACAAAAGGAGCACTCTCTTTGCACTCTGTCAAAAGGAATTCAGACATTTATGCAATGAACACAGAATTTTGAATTTTATTATTAGCCCTTTTTTTTTTTTTTTTTTAAATACACATTAGTTATAGAAATTAACAACTAAATGAACACAGAATTTTGAATTTTATTATTAGCCCTTTTTTTTTTTTTTTTAAATACACATTAGTTATAGAAATTAACAACTAAAAATAATTTAATTTACCTTTAACAATGGCATTGCCGCACGTGTTCGAACAGTTTTAGCATTTTTCAAAAAATGTGATTCATCCTAAAATTTAAAAAAAATTTGTTTCAAGAAACAGCAAAAATAAAAATTGTCTATAGTATCATTTTTTTATAAATAGCTGTCCTTAGTAAATCAAAATCAAAGTACTTATCTTATCTTTGAAAAAAAACTCAATTATACAATTATAATAGAACTAAAAAGCTAAATGTCCTATTTTTAAAATAATAATGCCTTGTCTTAGATTATAAAAGAGTGAAATAATTTTAAATTTAATTAATGCTTACCATTATGATGACTTTGAACCTCTTTTCATTAAGTTCTACAGTTTTCTTTGAAAGTAAATCATAGCTGATAATGTTAACCAGCCCTGATATGGCACTTCTCTTTCCAGTCTCAACAACATTTATTTCACCAATGGGCACACTTGGCAACCATTTGCATATTTGCTGAAAGAGTATAATATTTTTTAGCCTTGTTTAATATTTTGCATCTCATTTTTTTTTCAGTTTAAATTATTGAATATTATCATACATGCTAATATCAAGTGTTTCTTTGAAACTGCTAAATAGATGTGCGTATATTTCTACAATCAGTTTGTATCTTTATACCCCCTCTTATTTTACACAGTTCAGTGATGTAGCCCTGGTTCAAAAGTCTTGTACAGATTCACACCTTGTTTTGTAAGCTTCTGATGACCTATAGAGCTGAAATTTTGCCTTCATTGGTAAGACATTTCAATCTATCAAATTTTGATGGGTTTTTTTAATTTGAAATGTTAACCTATATTGTTATCTCCTTATTGTAAGAAGTACAAATAAAGCTTAGAAAATGCTTAGACTGTATACTAAGTATAGGTAAATGGTAATACTGCACATAAATGCAATGCATACACAACATTGCTTTAGACATATCAAATGTGCCATGATTTGAATACACTTTAATTACCTGTGACCAGTCAAAACGAACAGATGAAGGACACACAACCAAAAGAGGCCATTCATTTCTATAATAGCTTGCAATACAAATAGCCTGTAGTGTTTTACCAAGTCCCATATCATCTGCTATCAGCAGTCGGCCTTGGCGATGAATAGCAACACTGAAGAAAATACGATATTTTTAAATTACACATAATTAGCATTTTTTTAAAATACTATAGTCAAAAGAGTTAAACTTCATCTCAATTATTGTTAGAATGAATTTTCAGTTTTATGCAGAAAATTATTGGTCCTCTTTCAACCTTTTGCTGTCCTTGTATCAGCTAATGACAACAAGCACAGCACAATACGCTTCAACAGTCCATTTCAGTCAGCATCAGATTGAAGCAAGACTACATTCTTGGACTCACACACTTTGTAATCTTAATCTACTTCTTCCTGATAAACTCCTTTAAGGACCGCAACAAAGAAATGTCTGTCCAAATCGGGGCTGACATCGCCGCCACCAAGACAGTGCTCAAAGTCCGCAAGGTTCTCATAGATAAACTGCGTTTCGTAGAAGATTCAGTGTTAACCTCATTCATGGGAAATGGAGCACATCAGTTTGTAAGTGGACTCTCTCAATCATGCAAGGAGTTTGGACTGAAAAAAAATTCACTGCGAAAACACTCCCCCCACCTTGACATCCTGGAATTTGTAAAGAACTTCATATAACTTGGCAGTTAGCTCTGCATAGGTTAAGAGAACAAGATCTCTAAGGAAGCAGCTAAAGCCAAATTGAACAAGAGGGACTCCACAAGGTTACGAGTTTAGAAGGTTTGAAATTCAGCAATTATACTTTAAAAACTGTATGTTTTTTTATTTTAGCCGCATGCTCTAGTTCAAAGTTTTGTGGCACTCTTAAAAAATAGTTGGGGCACACCAGGGTGCTGCAGCAAACTAGTTGAAAAAACACTGATTTAGATAATTTTATCAACACAATGTCAATTCATATGGAAAAGATGTAAATATAAAACTTACTTAACACCATGTTTTTGAAACGGCAGTAAAGTCTGGACTAAAACGTCATCCACACATTTAAGGTCAGCCTCAGAAACTATACTATTTTCACTGGTACTAGACCCAAATGTTTGAAGTATCCATGGAGGTAATCCTTCAATATCAATTTCTGGCTTGAATTGGCTAACTCCTTTCACTGAGTAAAGAAAAGCAAAGCAAGAAATAAGAGGATTTTAAAGTATATTTCTCTATGATGAATCTATCAAATCCTGTAGGCTGCAATCTCAAAAGACTCCCCTATTATGAACTTTTAATGAATAATAATAATTTATACTTACTAAATGCGTTGTATTCTTCTAACTTAAAAGACCACACCTTTTTTGTACTATCTGAAACAATTAATTCAATTATAAATAAATTTAAAATTTGGAATTTGTTTTTCAAACATTCTAAAAATTATATTTATGCTCTTTTTGCATGAAAAAAACCAACATGCTTTTTTTGCTTGCTATTTAGTTTCAGTATGCCTGTGTCATTTTGTCCTTTACACTACAGCTGTTATAAAGAACTTATAATATTAAAACATTCCCAGATCTGATTTATTGATTTATCTTTAATCATTTACATGTGCATGCTATAAAATAATACAGCTAACAAACTCATGTTTGCATTAGAGAAAATGTATTACTACATGAGGTAATAGAAGACCATACCATAGATTTTTGTTTTCATCTGCTTGAAAAAGTTAATAAGAGGTGCACTGTATCCAACATCAACATAAAACATCCTATTATCTGTCAAGATACAGGTTCCCTTCATCTTTTGGGTTGAATTATAAAAAGCATCCTTGGGTATCATAGAAGCAGACATTTCTTTGGTAGCCCAATCATCTCTATCATTGGGTGAAATATTCAGCTGATCAATGGCCCCAAAGTTACTGTCCTTGTTAGAAAAATAGTTCTGCGATGGATGTTTAGTCTCATTAGTCTTTCCCTTTATGCTAATCCTAACTGAAGTGTCTTGTTCATTTACAACCTTCATATTTATATTTCTTACAACAGATTGTGAATTAAAATTGCCCCCTTGAATAGCTGTTTTTGGCTGTTCTTTTACACCTATAGAAATCTGCATTTTATTTTTTTTTAGAGCTTTTTCTCTGTTGGTTTCAATTTTCAATTTCATTTCTATGTTATTATTTTCAGGAAATGATGTAACTACTGAAAAGCCATTTGGTTTTGCTTCATTTTGAATTTGTTTCACTGGACTAACTTTTTCAGCTCTTCTGGCTAGTGCTCTTAGTTTATTTTCTTCTATTCTTTGTCTTTGTTCTTTTGTTAAATCCTGAGAACTCATGATGGTTGTTTAGTATTAGTATGATGGCTTTTATAAATCTGGCTCTCCTTAAATACAGGATTTTCATTCATGAGCAGCTCTGAAAAAAATGTTAAATTTTAACTTGAAGGTAACAAATAAAATAAAAATTAAATATATATTCTCATTAACAAAGTAATTTTACAAATAAATGCAGACAGTTTTAAATAATAACTATATAATTTTACAGGAATAAATCACTGAGTAAGAACATTGGGTGTTACTGGCACACAAAGAGTTTTTGTGACAGTGACATGTTTTGTGATTGTCTTTGATGCAGATACAAAAGGCGGAGAGACCTGTCAAAGATAAAGAAGGCAGATCAATAACGTAAAGGAAAGAGCAACAAAAAAGATGGGTGGAATACTTTAAGGAACTATTTAACCCACAGACACCCAGACATACAACCAGCAAATGAAGACTTACAAATGTAAGAAAACGCACCAAATAAGGAAGAAATAGCTCTGGCCATCAAGCAGCTCAAATTAGGGAAAGCACCGGGACTTGATTAAATCACAGCAGAGATGATGAGAGCTGATATAGATACAATAGTCAACATACTGCACCCTCTGTTTGAAAAGATATGGGAAGAAGAGAGAGTTCCAAAAGATTGGAAAGAAGGATACCTCATCAAGATACCAAAGAAAGGGGATCTCAGTGTGACGATCTGAGGCTGGACTTTGTCAAATTTCTTCCATCGTAAACCAGCCCTAGGAAACCCTTGTAAAATAACTCCTTTCCCTCCCCTCAAGATGCCCCGCCGTCGCTCAGCACGAGTGAGTTCCCTTGTGATATTGTATTCCTGCATCAGTTCGCTCACCTCCCGAACATGCTATTTGCGGTCAACCATCCCACCGAACAACCTTGAGGAAATAATACCATTCCCCCCCCTCATTTTTGCCCTGTAGACAGCAAGGCGGAGTATCGTCCCTTGCTGGAAATGCATTGTCTAGACAGAAAACTCACGCCAAAGCCTGAAAAAGGATGCTCACCTCAGTCCGATTAACCTTGAGGGTTGAAGGTCAAACCCGCAACAGCGAAAGTGATTTTCATTGGATGGAAAAATGACCCCTCATTTGAATCACCCAATTGAACCATCAGCTAATCGTCATCGAACTCGAATAAATAGCCTGAACAAGCAAGATTCTGCCTTTTATGATCTGATCAC